CCAACCACCTGCTCCACGCCACCGCCAGGGAAGCTGGGCGGGAGGGAGGAGCGGGAGGAGGAGGAGGAGGTGGAGGAGGAGGAGGAGACAGGCAGCTTACACACGCCTTCCAGTCCTCCACTCAGAGCAGCCCGAGCCCGCGGCCGCCGCCACTGCTCCAGCTGCCGCCGCTCCAGCCACTGCCGCGGCTGCCACCTGAGGAGACCCACGGTGCGGACCCAGAGGCGCTGCCCCGCCGACCCCTCCGAGGTCCCCGTGACCCGTGCACGGCGCAACTCTCCTGGCTCCTCTTCTCATCTCCTTTGCAAGCAGAGAAACTAACAGAAGAGAGCAGCCAAAAAAAAATAATAATAATAATAAAAAAGGACCGCGTCCACCTTGACCGACTACTGAAGCGTCTCCTGGAATAAGAGGGTCGCCCGTCCTGGGAGCAGCAGCCAAAGACGCTGAGGGAGGGAGGGCGTGGAGGGGGAGGAAGGAGTTGCGGGTTGAGGGTGGGGGAAAGTTGCGTGTGGCATAGACCCGACGGCCCAGCGCCACGATCCCCGGGGGACCGTGTGTCTGGGAAAACGCCGCTACCCCTTGAGTCCGGACCCACGAGCGAGCGGGCCCCGTGGGCCCGGGGACGACGCCCCCTCCCGCGGCGTGGACTTTGTCGGTGGCCCTCGAGGAGGAGGAGGAATATGGCCCCTAAGGTGTCCCCTTCTTGCCGTCTGGTTTTCTGCCTCTTGATCTCAGCCGCGGTCCTCAGACCAGGTAAGCAATGGCCTGTGAGCAGCCCGACCGACTGCCGCGGTTGCTGTGGCCCGGGGGCGGTTCCCTGGGTGGCCTGGGACTGTGCGTCCAAGCGCGTGCTTAGGAAAGTAAGGGAGCCATAAAGGCGCGCGGGGACACGGACCTGTCCCTGGGAACAGGCACTTGTGCCACACGTTTGAGGCTTGACTGGTCTGTTCAAGTTTGGGCGGAGAGAGCGAGCACTGAGAAAATCTCCAGCAACTTTGGATGAGGCTTCGCTTGAGGCTGAGGAGCCCCCAGGATTTGCTAGACTCTCTGCCCCTGCACAGTCCCTCCAGTCCCTGGGTGTCAAAGTCCACGTCGCTGAACCCAGGGCAGTTTCCTTTGGCTTGGCTGTGAGCTGAAATAACTGCCTGCACTTTGTCATGATAAATCCCCTAGTAACTTCCTCTTGGTCATAACGTGAAGACCCGGGAGGCAAAGCAAGGGAAAGGGAAGGCTTTTCATCTCAGGAAAAAAAATTTTTAAAAATATTAACACTGAAATAACAGCTGCATTGTCTGGTGGGTGGTGAGTGTAGGGTTGATGGCAGCCGAGTCACGCAGCATGGACTGGGTTAGCAGCCAGGTTTGTGAGCCCTGTGTGAGGGATGTCTTGATTTCCACACCCAGCGATAGCGCCTCAGGTCTCACTTCTACACTGAGTCCTCGAAGGAAGACGACAAAATTCCCACCAACCAGACTATCTTGTGGGGAATCCCTTGTCTCACCCCAGGGGACGTCCCTGGCCCTTGTGTCCACCAGCTGGTTTGCAGGTTGACACACCATAGTCCTGCTCTGCCTGGTATGCTCTCCCAGTCACTAGCCTAAGTGGCAGGTACTTTTCCCTAGATCTAACCCTTTCAAGTTTTGATTTTCAACCGTTTAGTGGATAGTTGGGGGTTAAACTACTATTCCCTGTTATTTTGGCTTCTGCCTCTTTTTCCCTCCCCCTTTCTTTAGTTTTAAATCAAGGAGAAGGAAAAAAAAAAGGACTCACTTTCTTTTCCCATCTTTTATTCCTGTACTCCCCTTCAGTTGTTGGCAAGCTGAAGCCAAAGAAGTGGGTTCAAAGGCTAGGAATCTTTCCCAGGAAGGAGAGGAAAGGAAGGAGGCCATACATAGCAGGATTTGGGAGCCTCTACTCGTGTGTGTGTGTGTGTGTGTGTGTGTGTGTGTGTGTGTGTGTTTGGGAGAGTGAGTGTAGGAGGTTGCCTTCTCCATATCTCTTTATCAAAGTTGCATTTCTGGGTGAGGTAATGAACTTACTGTTTCTGAGGCTGAGAAAGACATCAGTGACCAATCTCAGGCTCTGGGGCGGGGATCCTAAAACCCAAGTAGCCCCAGGTTTTAAGGCAGGTAGGGCTTATTGAAATCACCCAGAAGATGAGCGCCCGGGGCATCTCTAGTCTTGCACAATGTAGTCTCACTTTTTCGGGATCCCAATGTAGGATGGGGGAAGGGCACCTTGGAACCCAGGAGAAGAGTCAAGTAGGGAGCTTCGGGGCCAGTTTGTGAGCTGTGACAATACACACGCCTGTCTCCGCTCTTGGCTTTAACCCTCTCCCACCAGGCTTCGAGACTGTCACTTCCATTTCCACCCCGACTGCAGCACACAGCAGTTAACCTTTCATGCGGTTGCGCTGGAATTTATTTTCAGTTGGCCCCGTCGGAAAAACAGGTTTTTCTTTGCTCGGAACTGCCAAGAGGGGAGAGGTTCCGCTTTCAGACCTGATGGTGATTCTCTCTGCACCGCAGGCTCCAGTCCAAGCCACCAGCTGTGCGCTTTCCCGCAGGAGCGCGCCTGCTGATCCAGGGTCGCAAGCCACAAACCCCCAAATTCGCTTTCCCCCTGAATGATAGCGCTGACGTTGTACAAACTTCTCCATGGAATGTCAGTGTGCTTTCAATGGATTGGTTATGGTTCTAAAGGCACAGGGTCTCCTGCCAGTGAGTCCTGGACTGTGTGTCCTCTGCAGAGTGGAGCCTTGGGAGTGAGGTACTGCCTAGCTTCATCCCTGGGGCTCATATCCCTGGTTGCCTCCTTTCTGGAGCAGTTTTAACAGTATGTGTCAGGTGCCAGAGGACAGATGCTGCTCCTGCGGGTCTTTTGACTTGTCGATACCACAGTAGTCACCCATATGTTTTAGGCCTCTTGTATAATCTGTTTTCAAGGTAGAGGGAGGCAAGACTTGCATCAAGAAAATCTGAATATGATAAAGGCAGTGAAGTGTGTGCTCAGCATCCTAGGTGGCAAAAAAATCTCATTATTCTTGCAGAAAGAGCGTCAGCCTGTGGTGACATTTTGTACTGCTTTAAAGAAAGCTTTCCTTGGTTGTTTGCAAGGAGGTGTGGCATGGCAGTTAACTGTTTCTTCACTTGAGCCATCTGAGCCCAGCCCTCTAAGATTTTTTTTTTTTTTTTTTCATTTCTCAGGATACAAGGTTCACTCCAAGACTTAAGGACACACAGAGCTGTTCTCAGTGGGGCACAATGTTTATCGGTTTATGTCACCAGGTCTGGGGGGAAAAACAGCCACTGAAATCATGTCCTTTCAGATCATTCACGTGGCATTATTAAAATTTACTAATTATCCAACTACAAACTGCTTCGTAGCCACTATAGGTTGTTGTTTGTTTGATTTATTTAATCCAATAACAGTTTACAATGTAATGGAGTACTGCTCCCAGTAAATTGCTTTTCTTGGCTTGGCTCAAAACCTACATGTACACTCAGGCACTTGAACATGACAAGAAACCTTTTGGGTCTTCAGCTTTCTCCTGTGTAAAGCCAAAAAAAAGGAACCATGAATCTATTCTTTGAGACTTCCTCCAGCTCAGACACTGTTTCTTGTATCGAGGTAAAAACATTTGGCATGACAGAATCATTTTTCAATAATGTGTTTGTTACACTCTCATTCTAGGCAAAATTCACATGCCCAATTCTAGTATATTGCTAGAAAGGTTTCAGTGTGTATCCCAATTGCTAACTTTCTCTCTTTTTCTCCTTTTATAAATTCATGATAACCTGTTGTGCTTATTATTCGAGGGCCAATTAGGAAAATCAAAACAAAATGAGATGGGGGTGGGGGGTTGTCTCCCATTCACCTAGCAACAGCAAAGGCTTTTCACCTTAGAAAAGCCTGGTAGTGTACTATCTGCCTCACTCTTAACTGCATGTGTAGTTCTAGAATTAGGTATAAGCTGGCTGGTACCCAAATGCTCATATAACAAAATACGAACATTTTACTTGTTCTACTAACCCTCATGGTACTTGTATGTTCAGGGAATAGAACACACCAAAACTCTCATGTCATTTTAAAAGCTACAGAAATCCAAGCTATTTTGCATTGCTAATTCCCAACTTTTCTGACATTTTAGGATATTCAAGCTCACTTTTTTAGTGGTGGAAATTCATATGCGAATGTATGTATATCATTGACTTGTCAAGAAGTAGGCAGTCAACCGTAGCCCACTCCATAGTCTTAAGTACTATTTATATTGAAGCTGGTATTACAGAGTTCAATTTCTTACCCATTCTGTCTAAGAATGCTGTGACCTTGAGAACTATTGTTGTGCCCCTGTTTCTTTCCCATCTACAAATTTTTCTTTTATGTAATTCATGGTTCTGATTGTAGTGAGATTAATCATTCCATAGAACTTCATTTTTGGAAAGTTTTAGCTGTAAAATGTGCTATATTGTCAATAAAATATTTTTTAATCTCTTCCACTTAGTTATCATTTTACTGTTTTATTAAAAGGGGCCAAATGCTTCTTTCTTTTCTTTTATCTTAGTCCCCTTTTTATATCCCCAAGTCTCATGCCATTAAACCAAGATCTTACTGAAACTGAATGCTGAGTTGTAAGCATTTTTTTTCATCTGTAATAGCAGTATTTTTAAGGTAGTATTTTGAATGTTTTATGATCATGGAGCCTTATAGTCCAGACACACCTCTTTCTGTTCTGACCATTTGTTTAACAGCAAACATCAAAGAGTTCTATAACTCAAGTAGACACATCCCATTTATATCTGGTATTATGGAGGAGAGTCACACAGGTTCCCCACATTGAATATAAAAGCACATCTGTGCCTTTGTATGGACAAATAGAATCAGTTCCTTCAAAGTGTTAATTTTGTTCTTTGTTGTTAAGTTTCCACACAGCTCCATGCCATTGCTGGACTAAGACTTTTGTGACGTACAAAGAATTACATCATTCATTGAAATAACAAAAACTACCAAGAATATTTTCTTGGGAGTCATGAAAAATTAATGCTTGTTGATTGTTACCTTCAAAATTCATCTTATTTTATTCTCAACAAGAGCTTAAAAGACTGGAAATATGTCCATTTCTACTTTTATTTTCTTTCTTATTTGAGCAGAATTTTCCTTTCCCCATGGAGAATGAGGTGAAATTTGAACAATATATATATATATTCTATGTTTAAGAAGAGGCTTTTACATGCCATTTGACAAAGCTGTAGCCTATATTTATTCAACTACTTACTCTATGTAAAGTTACATATTTATAGAGTTCTAAATATTTTCATTCTACTAATTATTTATTTAAATGACAATCTCACATTTTTTTCTTTTTGTTGTTTGCTAGAGTAGCATATATTTTAGAGAGAACTGATCAGAAATGCTGTGATATTTAGTCAATGTTCAATGGTAACCTATTATCATTGCCTATTATTGTAGTGTATGTTCCAAGAATGAAATTAGCTTTTAATACTTCTTCTTATTTATCTAGTCAGTTCTCAGAGCTGCATGCAGTACGCACCAATCCTAATCAAAGGATTATTTCATCAATAATGAAATCAAACTATGTGAAGAATAGATGGTTCAGGAATTGGGTGTCTAACTTCTGCCACTGGCTTCTCCTTTCTCCTCTCTGTTTTCTGTGTCCCTCTACAAAGTGAGGTAAAATCTTGGTCAAAGTAAGACTACAAGACTAGAAACATCATTAGATGTAACTAAGTTTTATAGTGTTTTCAAGTAGTAGAAGTATCATGGGCCCTTGACAGTACAAGGAAAGCATCCTATGGCCCTGCTATTTCATCTAATCTTCAAATTTGTTCAATCGCATGTCAATCACTTAGATGGAAACACTTATTTCCAGATTAGGTAAGAGTTTGCTTTCCCTAAGTGACAGCTTTCTTATCAAGTTTATTCCGTTAGTTTAGATGAGTCTCCATGAATAAAGAGGTAGTTCCTTTTTCTTGATATAAGTTGGCTTGGCAACTTGATAGGCTGATTCCCCAAAGCCTATTTACATGCCTGCTTTTAGTGAAAACAGTAGTACTTCCAGTGGATTTCAAAGTCATTTTAAACAGTGGCAACTCATACATACCAGAGGGAGATTGAATTAAAATAAATTTATAACTACTTTATTGTGATGATATCAACCGAGAAGTTATATAAATTTGTTTTAAGATATTAATGGGCATTCCAATTCAACATTTTGGGAACATAAATCCCAATGATACTCTCACTTCATAAATTAGTATAAATAGACTTTTTTTTTTCTGTGCTGAGAATCAAACCAAGTGCTTTTCATAGTTAATGCAAGCAATGTACTACTGAGTTATGCCTAGCCTGATGGAAATAGATTTTTATCCTCATAGAAACAGATTTTTTTCTTAACCCATGAGTATGTATTTTCCAGGATTCTAGGCTCTCTCATTAGAACTATAAATACTTACATGCAATTTATGCCTTTATATAAAATAAGCATTGCGATAACCAAACTGTGTTTTGGCATTTCTCTTCCCTAGTATTTATCTGTGCTGTGGCCTTTGCCCTATTGTATTAAGATATGTGTTACATGTCTCTTATCGGACCATGAACTTTTACAATATCACATATTATCTTCAGTCCCACAAAAAGCTGGACACCTGCCTTCTTCCTCTTTGCACAAAAACATATACAGAGCTTTGTAGGTAGCATCACCTCCTACCCATGAGTTGACAAATGTCTCTTCCCAAAGAGCTTGGAATATAGGGTATAGTATCACTCCCTGAGAATAAAACTAGAAGATATAACCATACTGAAAGAACAGTTGCCTGGGGGAGAAGAAGGAAACCATGAAGGCACACAAGCCCTCTTGAAATGTAGTCAACCAGCATGGTCCAGGTAGTAGTTGTTACATACCTGTCAAATGCTCTGTGAGCACTCCTTTTCTAGGTGTTATTGAGATTGATAAATCCATCCCTAGTAGGGTGACCTTGCCTTCTGGTGTAAACCAATGCAGGATGGACATAGAGTATGCCTGAGGTTCTACTGGGTCTGATGATTGGTAGATTGGTTATAATGGTGTCTCAGGTTATACCTCACTTGTTTCTGCCAGAATACGTCAGTGTACGGGCTGTGAAAGTTAGAAAGAACAGTTCATTAGTTTTGTGTCTTTGTTTCCCTATTTGTGCTGCTGGGAGTCAAACCTAGGGCTTAATGTATGTCAGGCAAGTGCTGTAACATTCAACTTCAGACACCTCCCTTTGGCTTCTGGAATGAAGTTTAGATAACAAGTTATAGGGACCATATGCTCCATTTGGGGTGCTGAATAGCCTCTAAAGAACTGTGTAAAACGCTTTGTCCCCAGGGTGTCAGTACTGGTAAGTGACAGCATTTTGGAAAAAGAGTCCTAGTATGAGGCCCTTAAAATTACTGAAGGCACAAATATGGAGTAGCTTTCTGTCCTAACTCACTTTCCTTCCTTTTCTTCTCCCTGGCTCATGGCATAGGCAGTTTATCCTGTGGTATTCTATTGCCATGAAGTACTGTGTCACCACTGACCCAAAACAGTGCTGCAAACTGAATTCCAACTGGAACCTCCAGAACTAAGACTCAAAACCTTTTCTCTTTATAAGTCAGTTATCTCAAGTGTTTTGTTATGGTAGTGGAGAACTGACTAGCAGAGCATAATTATTACTAATTGATATATATATATATATATATATATATATATATATATATCTCTAACAACATAATCATAAAAAATACAGTTGTCATCCTGAAAAAGCCCCTATGCCTAACATTATAAATTTAAATGTCAGTCATAGTGAAATATCACCAAGGGATCTGAGCTTGATTCTTGTCAAATACAAGAAAGACTGAGTTATAGCCTGGTGTTGTAGTGAGTTTGCTGGTCTAGATCCATAGTCAAAAGAGAGAGGAGGCAAAAAGAAAGTGTGTGTGTGTGTGTGTGTGTGTGTGTGTGTGTGTGTGTATAAGAGACAGAGACAAAGAGACTGGGATGGGCGGGGGTGGAGGTGTGGCTCTGACTTGGAGACAAGTGGTACATGCTCCCTTTGTAATGAAACTAACCATGACTAAAAGATGTCACAGACACGGGGATATTTGAGGTTGTTTGATACTTCCTTGCAACCTGCTAGTTTGCTTGCCAATATGAGATGAAGAAACTCTGTCATACCAGTACATTTGCTCCATCTCCCCTAAAACCAAAAATTATGCATTTAATTATATTGGGACATTGTGATGAACAGTTTGCCATTCTTGGAAGTGTAGGTGTTCCTGTATTTTTTTAAATTGTAAATAGAGCAACAGACATTCCTCTAGATCCTGTTTTCCATATGAACAATTATGTTGGAAGGAAGATGTGTTGAAATTGAAAGTGCTGAGTTAAATATACTACATTCATTATTTGAAGAGAAATTCTAAATTTGTATTTCAAAAAAGGCATGCTCCTTCTATAACTGTGCCATTGCCATATATCAAAACTCAACAATTGATTTCATATAGTCAAAAGATATTGGAAAATAAGGTTAAGAGTAGTGAACATACATAGACATTGTAATATAGAGAGCAGGAGCAGAAGCTACGGATGTATTACTGCCTGACTTCATTGTACACAAATGGAGCCAAAATGGTTGAAGGGAAACCTGATTCAGGTGATTTTTTTTTTTAAATCATTGTTCTTCAAATATAATGTGACACATATAACTTCTTGAGCACCTAACCTTTAGAACACAAGTTGTGTTTAGGAGCAATGTTTTCTTTCATTCACAACTGTGGAATCAGAGTGGCTGGCCTGAAAGTCAATTCAGAGGAAGCCACGTGTGTGCCTTAAAAGTCTTTGACACTCCTTTTCCTTACACAAGTGGATGCCAAATATTTGTGTTCATTCACTGAAGGTACAGCACACACCCTGGGTGGTCTAACTAACGCCATTTGCAATGCCAATACAAGAGAATTTACTGAGAAAACTTCAGGTATTTTTAAGTAAATTGTATTTTGAACAATTCTTCCAGCAATTCGGTGGGTCAGACTCATCATATTATTTTTTGTTCAAGCTGAAAAATAGCATTCTTCACAAATACTGAAGAGGTTAATATGATTAAACACATCTCACCCTGTAATTTTGGGTCTATTAAGAAAGTACGAGTGAAATATACTTCATTGTTACTTTTGTATAGAAAAGAAAGCATAGCAATATGTATTTGGCAAGTTTCCACCAAGAATATACTGAAGAAAACCTGTTTAAAACAAGAATGGAGATACCATAAATAGAGGGAGACATTTTAGGTTTACAGAGAAATCAGGCACTAGGGAAATGTCTGGAGATCTACAAAGATGACACCAGCTAACAATCTAAGCACTGGAGGAGAGGCTACCTTAAATGCCCTCCTCTGATAATGAGATTGATAACTAACTGATATGCCATCCCATAGCCTTCATCCAGCAGCTGGTGGAAGTAGATGTAGACACCCACAACTAATCACCGAACTGAACTGGAATCCAGATGCCAAGAAGGACTAGTGAAGAGCAAAGGGGTCCAGACCAAGCTGGTGAAACCCAAAGAAAGAGCTGACCTGAACACCGGGGAACTCTTGCTCCCCAGACTAATAGCTGGGATACCAGCATGGGACTGATCCAGATCCCAGGAACATGGGTTTCTGTGCGGAAACCTTGGAAATCTACGGGACCTCCTGCAGTTAGTTCAGTACTTATCCCTAGCACAGGTGTGGACTTTGGGAGCCCATTCCATATAGAGGGATACTCCCTGAGCCAAGACACATGGTGGTAGGCCTAGGCCCTATCCCAAAGGATAAGATAGACTCTGATGACACCTTATGGAAGGCCTCACCATCCAGGGGGAGCAGAAAGGATATGTGATGGATAGGGTTTTAGCTGGGGGGGGGGGTGGTAGGGGAGGACGGAAGGGAGAAGGGAACTGGGATTGTCATGTAAAACAATCTTGTTTCTAATTCAAATAAAAAAAAAGTTTAAAAAAAAAAGAAAAAATAAAACAAGAGATATTCACAATGGAATTAAGATGTAGTGTCAAACTTTTTCTGCCTGTTCTTTATGCTTTTGTATTACATTTGTTAACTTAGTTGGTGTGTGTGTGTGTGTGTGTGTGTGTGTGTGTGTGTGTGTGTATGTGAGTGTGCCCCCACAATGTGAGATGGATGTCACAGGACAAGTTGCTGGAGTGTATTCTCTCCTTCTGCTGTTTGGGTCTTGGTAATCATATTCAGATCATCTGTCTTGACAGCAAGCACCTTTGCCCCTAGAGCCATCTCACTGGCCCTGCCTTTAGTTTTAAATGTTGTCTCTCTCACACACAGGATTGTTTTGGGCGTATGATCCAGAATTAATCAAAATTTTCAGGGGGAAATCATTATCTTCCAGTTATAGGTTGTATGATACACACACTGTGTTAAAGCCCATTCTGTGCTTGTAGCAGCAATGACTCATGGCCTCCAGCCTGGATATCACTTAAAGAACTGAAGAGCTGCAGCTGCGCTCAGGTGCTTTGTTTTGTTTTTCAGGTAGTTTTCTAACATTTATATGTTTTCTCATTTGTATGTTGATGATAATAACTATAAAATTTATTTGATGTGAGTATTCAAGAAGGTAGTGAGTTCATCTGGCATTTTCCTATGCTTGACACACGGTAGACTTTCAATGGTTAGGAATGAGTTGCATTCTGTTTTCAGGAATAATAGTAAAGCCATAATAGAAATTGAACATTATTCTCCTTTATTACTGGAATTTCAGCTGCTTCTACAATTACTATGCATTTTAAAACTCAATTAGTTAATATGTTTTGTTGTGCATAAGAAATTATCAGAGGAAATTACCACAGGTAGTTCATAGGGAAGGTTTAACAGTGCATGAAGAAGGAGTTTATTTCTATTGACAAAAATATTTCATGTCTTTATAATCTGTAATAAATATCAAACTAGAATATATTTTCCCGACTAGAAAATCTTAAGTTTTTCTAATTTTCTACAAGGAAATGGTATGCACTCATTCTGCTTGCTTTGTTATTTTCTCTAAAACTCCCTCAGTCCACACAGCTACAGCTGTATTTCCCCTCTGTCTATTATCCTACCTGTTTATTTGCTTTGCAATTGAAATAGAATGAAAGATATTACTTGGTTTTTAGCATGAAAATTTAGAATTTCCTTTGTCACCACTGAAAGTCTAACTTATAATAGACTTCTGTAAAGCAAGTGTTCTTTCACTAATAGACCTCTGTAAAGCACTGTGTCTTTCACTATAGGTTAGATTTTCAGAATAGGACTTTTGAGCTGTGAAGCTCATGGCTCCATGCTTTACTATCCCAACTCACTGGCACAATTGCTTCAGTCCATCTCTGAAACAGCCTATGCCCCGAGGATGTGTCTCTTGAAGTGAGGGCTACCATAGAGTTGCTGGGAATGAAAAGGCATTACTAAACATAAACCTCATTCGATATGGTGGTTGTCAGAGCAGAAGTCCTGACATAATAAATGTGACTATTATTTATGTATTCTATCTTTCAACTTTTCCCTCCAAATATAATTGGTGTGCTCCCATTGGTACAGAGAAGAGAAACCACAGATTCTTCAAAGTCATGAAAGGACCAACTCTAGTGTCTCCCCACTTCACAGATGAGAGTGGACCACAGTGATGTGGGTGTAAAAGGAAGTGAAGAAGGCAAACAATATGTGACTTCTGCTGAGTGACATTCTGCCTTCCCTTTAATCAAGTCCTCTCTGCTGCCATCACAGGGATTGCATGCGATTGGAATCATGTATCTGCCTGCTTACAATGCATCCGCTGCTCTTCTGCACAGCCAGGGGTTCTTGAGACTTCCCACACAGTCTTCCTTGGAACCCATGTTGGAGCTATATTTTTAAATATGTTATACCCTTCCCACCCTCTGAGTTGCTTATGCACATCTCTAGCTCTGTCTTATGTTACCACACTTTCTCTTCCCATCCTTCCACACACCCTTCTGTACCTGCATGAGTTATGTTTCCATATGCAGTCTTCCTCCAAAGACTCCTCCCAGATCTCCCGAGGCTCCTGTTCTCTATAGCTCCAAAGCTTATT